GTGCACCAGCTGTAAGTCTCTGTTTTAAACTAGCCAAAAGGACCAGAAGCCTATCCCGCTGCCGGCTTACCCTGGGGAAGAGCTTTCTGAAGGTTTTTTTTTTTTTCCAAGATTGACTTGAATTTCTGTGTGACTCTGTTACACTCCCTAGTCATATGACTGTGACATGCCTTTTTCTTCTGAGTTTGTGTATACTCAGCATGGGGCCATCCATTGGATAGAAGCTGAGAAGCATGAATTATTTGCATTTGTTGACACAGTTGTCTAGACATTCCTTCAAAGTTAATGGTTTCTCAAGAAAATTCTTTCAATTCCATTGTATGATATTGTGCCATTGTATATCTTAAATGCCTCATAAGCTTCTTCAAAGAAATGGTCTGGTGCTTGGGTTATGAGTGAAGTATTTGTGTTTGCAGCTAGGAGATCTTTTATAATTTACCCCTGAAGAACACACATTTTTGGTTTTCTTTTTTCTTTTCCTTCCCCCGGTGCAATGCACGGAGATCTGCAGTGACAGAATTTAGGATGCTAATATTGAAACAGAGCCTTTATTGTAGGAAGCAGAGCTACATTTTCTATATTGCTGCATTGGTAATGAATGATAGTTTATAAGGACAAGAAAGTTGACAATTTTTTATTATTTTTTCCCAATTAAAAGGATCCTTATAGGAACAGAAATACTATCGTAGCTAATTTGACAATCAGTCACACACAACTTTTGTTACTCTTTTTAATAAACTTAGCCTAAAAAAGAATGCAAAATACTATTTCTAAGAGGAGTGTTGAAGAGAAAGGAACACAGGCATATATTTAAACATAGCCATTGCGTCTAGGAAATTAAGATTTCAAAAGTGTATGCTCTAGTCCAGACTTTGAGGTGTGCCCATCTGCAAAACCTGTGCTGGCAGTTCTGCATTTAAACATTGACAGGAATGAAAAAAAAATAGGTCAAACTGGGATCGATACAAATGCAGGAGTTTCCCGTGTGCCGTAGTGAACGTTGCAGTTAAGGGTGTGACGGAGCGCAAACGCTGAGGAGCAGGTCTTTAGCAGATGTAAATTATTGGAGTTCTGATAAGACTATAGATGTTTACACAAGCTAAAGATCTTCTGTGTGACAGTAGGCACGAGAAATTCATATCCTTTTGCCTTAGTGAAAAAAAACAAACGGTGTTTGGTTTACCTAGTCTGTTATTCCCTAGTCTGTTATTCCTAGTCCATTATTCCTGTGAACAACAGGAAAATAACCTGGTACCAATCATTGGTGCTTTACCTGATGGTCAGTCAGTGCAAGGCTGTTGCCATCTGTATGAGAAACTACTGGGACCTGGCAGTGTCACCATGTTTGGAATTGTCATCGCCAATAAAACGACCATCTAACAGAAGTACTTGAGGTGGCAACATGCTGAATTCTTTCATTCCCTGGAGGGGGCTGAGGCTCTGCACGCTGAGCAGGCAGGAGGGCTGGGGGACACTGCCCACCCACGTGTCCCCCAGGTCTGTGCTCTCTTCTCCCTAGCCAGTGATGCAAAGGGCAGCGGGCAGTGAGCTCACAGGTTTGAGCAGCCCATCCCCAGACAGCAGATAGTCAAGATCCCCCAACAGGCCAACCAGCGAGGTAGTTGGAGAGGCAAGCATGCATGGTTTGGGGCCAAATTCAAGGTTCCCCTTCCTTAAGCACGCTAACCGGTAACTGGCTCCATGGGGGAAGAAATTCCTTTGTCTGGGCTTAAAAACCCTGCTTGCACCACAAAGTCCAGACTCAGAACGGTTTCTTTGTGTTCTGTTTCCATAAACCTGAACTTCCAGACTACGTTAAGAACTTAATCCCCATCCCACTGAAATGGCTGACGCTTTCTGTTGGTTTTCAATGGGCAAAGCAACTGCCCCAGAAAGAGTGCTTGCTTTTTTTAAATATATAGGAAGGGTTCAAGCCTACAGTGACTTACTGTGGTTGTATGGATGCTACGTAGTCAGAACACTGCAAGTTCCCTTACTGAGCTACCTCTTTGTACTGAACCTCTGACATTCAGTACGGACAACTTGCTTAGATTCCACTGGACACATCCTTTTTCCTTCGTTAAGTTTTTTTCTCCTTCATTTAAGAATATTTCAAACTGTTTTAAGACGGAGTTCTGTTAGAGCCTTTACAAAGTCCTTGTTGATTGCTTGGGGCAGCCTAAATATTGTGTGTGAGTGTTGGGAGGTGTGGGTCTAAAGGGAATATAAAGCAAAACGGAAATACATATATTAAATCCATACTTAATGAAATTTAATTATGCATATCAATTCTGTTATGTTTAAAGACTGTTAAGATGTTTGTTTTATGACTTGTTATTTTGCCTATACGTCTTTAATAAACAGAATGGTTTTGAATTTAATTTTCTTAATAGGTAAATAAGTTAAAGTTGCTTTTCCTCTAGGTCAACTTTTTGCTTCTGTTACCTGTGTTTTGTTCTTTCGTGGCTAAGCCTTTAAACTGTTTGCGTTGTCTTTTTTTAAAAAAAAATAATCCATAAACTGTACAGAAATATTTTATGAACTAAACTTGGGGAAGGTCCTCAGACTACCGCGAATTATCATCAACTGAAAATTAATTTGTTGAACTCCACTGGTTTTTCAGTAGAGGGTTAGAACAGTTCTGAATCTTTTCGGTTTCTTGGCTTTAAATGTAACTGAGGGATATCTAGTATTGAACATCTAGTCTTGAACTATTGAACGTCTAGTTTTGAATTTAATTTTCTTAATAGGTAAATAAGTTAAAGTTGCTTTTCCTCTAGGTCAACTTTTTGCTTCTGTTACCTGTGTTTTGTTCTTTCGTGGCTAAGCCTTTAAACTGTTTGCGTTGTCTTTTTTTAAAAAAAAATAATCCATAAACTGTACAGAAATATTTTATGAACTAAACTTGGGGAAGGTCCTCAGACTACCGCGAATTATCATCAACTGAAAATTAATTTGTTGAACTCCACTGGTTTTTCAGTAGAGGGTTAGAACAGTTCTGAATCTTTTCGGTTTCTTGGCTTTAAATGTAACTGAGGGATATCTAGTATGGAACATCTAGTCTTGAACTATTGAACGTCTAGTTTTGAATTTAATTTTCTTAATAGGTAAATAAGTTAAAGTTGCTTTTCCTCTAGGTCAACTTTTTGCTACTGTTACCTGTGTTTTGTTCTTTCGTGGCTAAGCCTTTAAGCTGTTTGCGTCGTCTTTTAAAAAAAAAAATCCATAAACTGTACAGAAATATTTTATGAACTAAACTTGGGGAACGTCCTCAGAATACTGCAAATTATCATCGACTGAAAATTAATTTGTTGAACTCCACTGGTTTTTCACTAGAGGGTTAGAACAGTTCTGAATCTTTTCGGTTTCTTGGCTTTAAATTTATCTGAGGGATATCTAGTATTGAAAATCTAGTATTGAACTATTAAACATCTAGTTTTGAATTTACTTAATAGGTAAATAAGGTAAAGTTGCTTTTCCTCTAGGTCAACTTTTTGCTTCTGTTACCTGTGTTTTGTTCTTTCGTGGCTAAGCCTTTAAACTGTTTGCGTCGTCTTTTTTAAAAAAAATAACTCATAAACTGTACAGAAATATTTTATGAACTAAACTTGGGGAAGGTCCTCAGAATACTGCAAATTATCATCAACTGAAAATTAATTTGTTGAACTCCACTGGTTTTTCAGTAGAGGGTTAGAACAGTTCTGAATGTTTTCAGCCTCTTGGCTTTAAATTTATCTGAGGGATATCTAGTATGGAAAATCTAGTATTGAACTATTAAACATCTAGTTTTGAATTTACTTTTCTTAATAGGTAAATAAGGTAAAGTTGCTTTTCCTCTAGGTCAACTTTTTGCTTCTGTTACCTGTGTTTTGTTCTTTCGTGGCTAAGAACTTAAGCTGTTTGTGTCGTCTTTTTAAAAAAAAATAACTCGTAAACTGTACAGAAATATTTTATGAACTAAACTTGGGGAAGGTCCTCAGAATACCGCAAATTATCATCAGCTGAAAATTAATTTGTTGAACTCCACTGGTTTTTCGGTAGAGGGTTAGAACAGTTCTGAATCTTTCCAGCTTCTTGGCTGTAAATTTAACTGAGGGATATCTAGTATTGAACATCATCAGGCAAAACTGATGGCAAACGAGAACTTCATCCATGTTGAAACATAAGGATTTGCTTGATCATCAACACTTCTTACCTTCTGCATATCTGTAATCCCTTCTAATGGTAGCAGAGGGAAAAAACACCCAAACAATAAAGCAGCACTTCAGACATCACAGGGAATCTTAGCACTTTGTGTTGAGTTGCTTTTTTCCCTTTTTGTGCTCTAAATTGAGAAGCTTTTGATGACTCCAGTAATAGATCCAAGATAAATCATTTTTTTATGTAGTTAGAATCAAAATTACGGTTGTGTTTTTTTATTTCTTCAGAATCCTTTAGTTAGTGCGAATAGATTACGAGACAGAAAAGGTGATCTCAGCAGAAGCTGCGCAGTTGTGCTTGTTCAGGGAGCAAAAGGTGAGTGATCCGGCAGCGTGGTTTTACAGAAGTAGTCCCCTACCTTATTCTGGCAGTCAGGGAAGGAGGAGCTGTTGGTTTTATTTGTGTACGGTTTCCCGTGGAAATATCTTGACAGCAGGAGGTTAGAAGGCAAGATGAAATATTGTCTGTCTGCAAGCACATTTATTTATGTGCAAGTGCATACGTGCATAAGAGATGAGCAGTTATATACGTAGAAATCACTAGAAAGGACCAAGTCCCTGGTATACATTTTTTTTTTGCAAGATTGCACATGGCGAAAGAGCTACTTTTCTGACGTTATTTTGACATTAAAAATGAAATTTCCGGCACTGAGTTGTGTTTTGTATTGAGTCCTAATCTCATAGAGAACCTTTACAGCAGATGATTGCAGCACTGTGTTTGTAAACCGGAGACTATTTTGCACTTAAATAGATGTTGATGCATTTGGGAATTACAACACAGCGAAGGGCTAAATCATAGTTTCTCCATTTTGTTATAATCCAAATGCATTTATATTACTATTATTATAAAGTGCCAGAAACACACGCAGCCCCCTCGCAAAGGCGTTAAATAGACAAGAGACTCAATTCTGCCCTTGGTTACACTTGCACATCTCCAGTGAGAGGGCTGTTAAGCTGCGGAGCCATCTCCCTGGGGAAGCTGTTTGAAGAGCCCTGCCATTGTTCTAACAAAGCTCGGTGATAACGTAGCACACCAGGAGAGTATTTTACTTTAGATTTGATGGCCTGCGTCTAACAAACCGAATCTCTTTCGTCGTATCAGAATAATGGCAGGAGAGGAAGATTGTCTCCTCTTCGCTGTTTTTCCTGCTCAAACCCCGTTATCACTTCTCATCATCAGACTGTGACTTCTTGGAGGAGGCATTTTGGATTAAATTCTTCCGAGTTTTATGTGTGCGGTTCCTGTAAAATTCTCTTTCAACAGGGAACGTCCTGCAGGATGGTGAGTAATCTTCTGGAGTAGATTGGGCTGTCCCATTAGATGCAGTGCTAAGGGACATGGTGTAGGGGATGACCTTGTAGAGTAGGGTAGATGGTTGGACTCGATGATCCCAAGGGTCTCTTCCAACCTAGACGATTCTATGGCTTTTTGGGTGTGCGGGACCGGAGAAAGCAAAGCCAGGAGATAGAGGTGGGCTCCATGCTGGCACCTGGAGCTGTACCAGAGGTCATAAAAGGGGCCTCTAAATTGTTCTGGTGCCAGAAAGGTGGAGAGTGGGCTCTTCAGTGAGAAGGGAAATTAAATTTGTTAGTGATTAAAAGGACAAGAGAGACGCGTTGGAAGCAATTGGTGCCAATGAGGCCTCTCGGCGGCTCCCGAAGCAAATTGCAGTCTCGGGGGAATATCAGCTTCTCGGTCCATCAAATTGCAGTAATCAAGTCTGGAGCTGATGGGAGCATGAGCCCCCACTTAATTTTCTCATCAGCGGAGGCCAAGTTTGCAAAATATTTTTAGATGCGTTTCCGCAGAGATTTCTGCCAGCGGGTGACCTGTGGAGTGACAAGAAAATGAGCAATAGCTGCCGGGGAATCGGGCTCTGCTGAGTCCAACTGCAGCTTTGGGCAGGGAGGGCAGGGAGATCAAAGGCCTTTGGCATTGCTGTGCAGAAAAGAGCCCCGCTGGGTTGATCCCATCACCTGGATTTGTTAAGCAATAAAATAACCTGTTAATTCTCAGGCTGTCTGGTAGGTTCAGATCAACGCCGACCCCGTGCTGCTCACCCAGACCAGAACCAGGCACGAGAGAAGAAAGTGATTTGTGGTTCCTGCTCGGAGAAACAGCCGATACCCAACAGCTTGCAGCCCACGGAAGAGAACATGCATCTCCTAAGGATCCCATCCTGGTGGGTGTTCTCTGCTCTTTACCTGTGTTCAAAGTTGCCACCTGGCACAACCATTTTTCACCCAGTTGTGAAGTAGAAAAAAAAAAGCCTCTTTGGATGGCATCCTCGGTGTCCTCCATCTAGTATAACTGTAATGGAATCAAAGGCTTGCAGATGTTAGCATGCTGATGTTAGTTCCCCTCTGTAAGAGAAAGCTTACTCTTTATGGTCAGTTTTCTTACGAAGCAGTTCCAAATTCTGAGGGAATTCAACTCGCTTAAAAGGGAAGAAAATGGGCTGCCTCGAAGGAAAGACCATTTCATTGATAGGATTAAAAAAATTATAGAGGTCATGTGAGAACTGGCCTTTTGCCAGAAGAATCGCAGGAAATAAAATTTGAGGGTCCCGTGACAATAATTGGGTATGAAATTCTATTGACAAAAGCTTTTGCAATTCTGCACTCCCTCCGTTTCTTAGCGTTGTGACTGGAGTCCTTCCCCGTCAGTGTCCTTTGTCTGCTGCACAGCCCAGACCCAAGATGTCACAAAATTCTGTCTTTATTTCCTGGTGCCTTCTTCATGCAGTTTTGCCACTTGTTGTCAACAGTGTTTGGTGAAACAAGTGATAAAGCCTCTTTTGTTCCCTTATCTTCAACCTAAATTCCTTTTTTCTTTAAAACTTCTCCCAGTTAGCTGTAAGTGATAAAGCCTCTTTTTTTCCCTATCTTCAACCTAAATTCCCCCACCCCCCCTTTTTTTTTTTTTTTCTTTAAAACTTCTCCCAGTTAGCTGTCATGTTGGTGTCATCACCAAGATGATGCTCTCATCTGCTTGGAGAGCATCTCTAAGAAGATGCTGTCTTCTTGGAAGATGCCATCCCATAGCAGCATGATGGTAACTGTGACCGAGAAACGGGGCAGCTTTCCAAGATGCTGCTCGGGGAAGCAAAAGTCAGCTTTTTGTGCTGGCACAGAAGAACTTTAGCCATTGAAATTATGGTTTTAGTGTTCTTCTTGAGGAGAAGATGATGGGAACATGAGGGGGTTTGCCAAGTTCCTCAGCAAATTCTTGCTTATTCTGTTTCGTAATGTTGATTTGAATTAGAGAACTTTCAGGAGTTCATTTTTTTAATAGAGATGACAATATTTTTTTTCCCCCCTTGAAATATTTTAGCTCACTGGCTGAAAAATTAATCGTAATTTCCAAAAAGTGACTTGGGACTTAGAAAGCTGCGTGTGCAGTGTTTGGCTCAGGCTCTGAAAACACACACACATTCCTTCAGGTGCCTCACAGCCAGTTGCCGAAAACTCGCTGCAACATCTGCGTAAGTCCGATTCCCTCTTAAATAAAATATATCCCAGAGGCGTAATAGCTTACTAAAAATAAAGAGTATGACACAATTTCAGCCAGCTAATACGGTAACTGTATTTGCTGCACCTCACGGAGTGCTAATGTGGGAAGCCTGTATCCTTTCAGCTGGGCTGTCTGCGAGCATCACGCACAGATCTCTCCCCAAGCCGGTGCCAAATCCCACTTCCCAAAGGCACTGGGGGGGGGTCACCACCCTGCGCTGACAAAACCCGCTCTTTCTGGCCCCTCCAAATGTTAAAAACGTGGCTGAGCTGTGATACGTGAGATTTTTGTGTGGAATAGAAGAGAAGCGGTTGCGGTCTGTGGAGCCTGACTTTTTGTCATGTTTCTGAGCAGGTGACATGTATTTGTGGTGCGTAACACTGACGTGTAACCTCTCTGATTATAAAGAGCATGAAAAGCTGTGTACAGCTCTACTATGGCCTGTCGGTGTTCCCAAATACTCTCATTTATACCATCTTTTGGGACATCGATTAAAAAACAAGAAAACTCAAATCTATCTGGTACCAGCTTTTTTGGCAGGTTTTTAGGTATTTGGTTTTTTTAAAAAATAAAGTGGACATTACATAGGGAAAAATTGCTCTCCACGTGTAACAGGATGTATATTAAATCCATATCTTCTGAGTTCTATAATTTAGTATTTTACATCTATTTAAGAATATATTTTGCTTGTCTAGCTTTTCACTTTAAAGAGCGAACTTTCTCTGCTGTTCACCCCGTTCCAGTTTTTAGCTTTGGTTATAGACATGAACACGCTCCAGCACATTGCAAGCAGCAGCTTTCTATGTTTAAAATAAATAAATTTATTTTCAATACCACGGAAAGTGAAATTTGGTTTAGTCCGATGAGACGGCATGGTGGTATTCTTTCAATAGCTGCTGCTTGAAATTTTTTTCCAGAAGCCCCAGTTTAGGAGTTTATTGTCTTAGCAACAAAACGTTTGCTCTGAACAATCCCAGAAGCACAATACATTAGCAGAAGGAAAAGAGTATTTATAGCCAATAATTCAGCTGTTATAAATTGTGACTGTAAAGAAAGAGAAAAAGGTTCCTTTTTAGAACTTACTGCCAGATTCTGGTTTCAGTGATGCCGAGTAAGGTAAGTAATGTCCTTTTGATTAACAGTCAAGCCTTGAGTGGTTTTCATTTAAAGAAGACTTTATTAAGCTTTTTCATGCAAATTCATCTTTTTTGTTCCGTTTTTGAACGGAACTTCCATCTGAAGAAAACTCTCAATGACTTTTTAGCGTCTGTTAAATTCCCCCTGACAAACAGATGAGAATTAATATGTATTTGCTCCAGAAAGAACGTGGGGGCTTTGCCAAATAAATCAAGCCTCTATGTTCATCTCCTTTAAGATAAAAGTCACATCAGCCCTTTGAGACCTTGAAGGGAAAAATTTGGGCTGATGGTTGGGCCGGGGGCCTCGGTTTTTGGTGCGTTGGCAGTTGGGAGAGTGGCGGGGGAGAGGGATGCCGAGCTCCTGGGTCTCTCCTCCCTTCTTCCATCCCCGCCTTTGGGTTGTGCCTGCATCCTCTGCTCCGACGGGGACCTGAAGCCCTCGGAGACGGGAGGTCCCCGGTGCTTTTCCCTGCCCGGTACCGGCCCCGGGCCCGCGGAACCCGGTGCCTTTCCCGGCGGCGGGGCCGGCGGCAGCCGCCACCCGGTGCTTTTCCCTGCCCGGTACCGGGCCCGCGGAGCCTGGAGGTACCCGGTACCTTTCCCAGCAGCGGGGCCGGCGGCAGCCGCCATGGCCGGGGCAAGGCTGCCCCCTGGCGGCGGCGCGGGGGGGCGGCCGGGGGGGGAGCCCCCCAGGAACCCTCTCCCCCCCCCGCCTCCGACTTAAATGTTTTTCCCCTTTTTTTGGCCCTGTGTTTGCATAATAATGATCAAGGGGTCACCTCTCCCGCCCTTCCCCTCTGTACCAGCATCCCCACGTCCTTGGTACCAGCATCCCGACCTCCACCAAGAGCGGCGGCTGATGGACAGCCGGGCTGATCTTTTGACTCCCCCCTTGGAAACGGCGACACATTTTCTCCGCCACAAATTAGGCTTTGACACTCGAAGGTGGCGATCTGTAATGGATATTGCAATCTGAAGATTCAAAGAGACTCCCCGTGATCTCTGTCCTCAGCCCAGTAAAGCTGGAGTCTGGCTTCCCTCCTACGTGTTATTTGATTGTGGTCCCTAACCTTGGGACGGGCTAATAATCGTTAGTCAGAGCTGATACATCCTTTATGGGGCTGCCCGGCTCGGGAAGGGAGATGTTCTCTGGAAGAGCAGTAAATCAGCAAAACATGCACTTAAATATACAGTAAAATGTGGTTTGAGACACGATCCTTCATACATCATGTAACAAAACGCTTTCCTGGGAGAGTTGTGTGTGGGGTAATGAGGAAAGAGGGGGCTGCTGTGACGAGACCCACAAAGGGAAAGGGTTCAGTGGTGGGAGAGATCCCTGAGCAGCTCGTGCTCCGAGGGCAGTCACCACCTCCTGTGTCCTTCTCTGCCCTCTGGGAGAGAGGGAGGGGGATGGAAGGAAGGGAGCACCTCCTCATCCTTTTACAAGCATTTCTCATCGTTAATGAAATCTAAGTGAATATATAACACCTGCATCTGCAGCTCCACCAAGGAGCTGGCTGAAGCAGGGGCAAGCCCTCCGGGGAGAGGGAGAGGAGGAACCTTCATCCCGCAGCAAGGCAACCCAGGCATCATTTCCCCGGGCTGTTTGCTTCTAGGAGGAAGTTCCACTCAAATCTGAGGAAGAACTTCTTTGGGGTGAGGGTGGCAGAGCCCTGGAACAGGCTGCCCAGGGAGGTCATGGAGTCCCCTTCTCTGGAGACCTTCAAGACCCACCTGGATGCAGGCCTGAGGCTTGCTCTAGGCAACCCTGCTTTGGCAGGGGAGTGGGACTAGATGATCTCTAGAAGGTCGCTTCCAACTCTGACAATTCTGTGATTCTATTCTCTAGGTTCCTGGCCTTGCTGCTTTGCCTCCCTTGGCTTGTGTGGTCCTGAGTAGCTGCAGAAGCTGGGCCAAAAGGGCTGGCCAAGCCACCCAGCCAGATCTTCATAATAACTGCATGAGACAGTGTTGTCCTGGACCAGAGGGGAACAGAGTCAAGGAAAGGCTTGATGATGGGCAAAACCAGAGTGATTTCAGACAGAAAAGTGGTAAGAATTAGTGCAGGGCTGATGGTTATGGGGCAGTGGTTTATATTTTTGTGGAGCTGAGGAAAAGAAGGAATCACAGAGACACAAGATGGGAAAATGAGAGTGCAAGTAAGGGTGTGATGAGCGGGCACGCCTTGTGTGCAAGTTAGTTATTTCTAAATTTTTTATTTTTTCTTTTTTAGTTGGGATAGCTCGAGCATTGTAACGGCAGTGGAGGATTTAAGCCATAGGAGTTTTCACTGCCAAAACTGCCTTTGACACCTGTTTGGCTGGCGGGGGGACAGGCCCAGGGTAGATGTGCGTTAGAGCTGACTCTGAGCTGCTTTCCACACCTTTGGTCAGTAATTCTGACCCAAAGTCCTGTCGCTTTTCAGAGGGATGGCAGCCTAACGTGGACCATGGATGGCTGGAGGCTGACGTGCACTGGAGGAACTGAGCCATTCTGCTGGAAATGGGGGATCTGTGACCAACACAGCCATGCACCTCCAGAGGGAAATGAGGCAAGTCTTTCACTTGTCCCTCCAGTAACTATTAGAATGCTTTATGCCTTTTTTTCCCCTAATTCTGTCTTTTTTTTTTTCCTAAATCTGTTCCAAACATGAGCGCAGATGATTTCCACACAAGGCGAGTCGCTTAAGAATGGGGGGCGTTTGTATGGTTTGCCTTTTAATAAATTAATCAGTGCTCATGTTTTTAACAGCCTTAAGAAGGGATAAAACCTCCATCCCTCTTGTCATGGCAACTACAATAAACGAAACATCATTCAGAAGTCAAGAAAAAAAAAACACCAAAAAACACAAGCACTTTAGGTCTCAGCCAAGCCCGCAAAGTAGCACAACTCATTACTAATTCAAAGGAGCTGTGTCCCTCAGAGCTCACCATTACTGGTTTTACTACTAATAATACTGGAGCTGCATAAATTTAACACAAGGCAGAGTTTGGCAGGAGGGAGAGTGGTGGGGATGTGCTGCTATCCTAATCAAACATCTCCGCAAAAGCCTTGCAGCCTGGCAAGAAGTGGTGCTGGGTCACAGGGAGAGGAAGGTTATGGTTTTGAGGCCGTACCAGTTTGGTAACATTAAACCTAGAGAGATACTGGAAGAGGCCATAGGTATTTGTAATTTATTCATAAACAGCTATGCCATCGTAACAATTTTTTTTTAAAATAATATGTGATAGCTCTTTAAATATTTAAGAGTTTGTTGACCTATTTTCTCAGTTAATTAGGATTTTTTTTTTTTTGGCTGCATTAACAAGGACTTGAAGGCAGTCTGCTGTAGTCACTACACAGTTCAGCTGTGCTGGGTTACAGAAACACGATTTCTTTCTAAAGCACATGACATGGGAGAGGAATGCCATTGTCAGTGTCTAGACTTGTACCAAAAAACCCATAGGCTTCTGAGCAGGTAGTGCTTAAGCTCGACTTACTGAACACAAACCCATTCACCTGGCATCTTTCTGAGCCCTGAAACAAATGTCTTTTCAATTACAGCACCGCCCTTGGTAACTCTGCAGTGGAAGGGACACGGTGAGGCCACCCTTCTCTTCAAACTGCAATGGTTGAGAACATCAAGCATTTGTGAGTACGCTTCTTTTCTTACTCGTTTCTTTTGCCCAAGGCTCACTAAGGCTAGAAGTTAACGCAACACAAATTTGGCCCCACGTATAAGTGTAAAGCACCACGTGGCTAATGGCTGTATGGTGGCAAGGTCAGAAACCAGCTCTTTCTGAGCACTAATAGAAGGTGCTATTAGCAAAAGCCACACTAAGTTCATCACGCTGTAGGGGTTTGAACAGGAGATCTCATCTATGTCCCACCTGTCCCCTCTGAAGTCAATGGCAAGGGAAGGGAGGACCCGAGAGCAGAGCATTGACTGACTGTCAACCATGAAGATGGCCAGCTCGTTGGAGATGGCCACAGGGCTCTCCTGACAGAGCGGGGAAGTTGTCACCGGGAAGGATGTGTGAGCCACCAGGGTCCCGTCGTTATCTGCTTATCTCAGGGGGGCTGCTGTGGGCTGTGAAATCAGCCACAGCACCAAAGTCACCATCTGTCCCCAGTTATGCAGCTTGGGGACCATCTGAGCCCCTCCCACCCCAGAAAAGGACACCAGGAGGGGTGATTCCTACTCTCTGAAGGGCTCTAAAATGTACGTCTCAAGAGGATCGATATCAGGGCTATTTCTGGCTCTTTCAACGCCGCAGTAAAACAAACCTTGACCCTTGCTGTCATCACCTCTCCTTCTGAGAAGGTGTCAAGGATCTTCATGTTTTCTGAGGGCTGTTGTAGTGGCCTCCTGCAGCAAACCACACAGTCGGAGAGAAGTTTGCAGAAACTCAGAGGGCAAGGATGCTGTTAGCTCTGCACGCAGCCTTTGCTGGGGATCTCCAAAGTGACCTGGGAAGGGAACTTCTCAGCGCGTGCGTCTGCACAGAGTGTTACTGAGCTGACTCGGAGTAAAAGACCAAGTAAATGCTGGCTGTCAGGCTACAACAAGCTTCCTCGTCAGGTGCAAATGGACAGGAGAGGTTTTCTTCCATTTGCACCTGATGAGGAGGCATGTTCCCCCCACAAAAGCTGGTGTCCGCCACCCTGTGTTTCATTCCTGTAGATCAATTCAGCGTTTCTTCGGATCAATGTTCTCCACTAATGAGTTATTGCTTTTTCTTTTCAAATTGAAACTTGGAATCTACAAGTTTGAGGCAAATATTTTGTCATCTGAGAGACACCAAGTGCACGGAATCAAACCCGTAAGCTCCTAAATGAGAAACGTTGGGTTTATTTCGGGGGTTTCTAGTTCCTAGAAAGAAATACAACACTAGAAACTTTTGTTGAGATTAAACAGGAGAGAATACTAGAGCAGAGAGGAAGAATTTCTATTTTTGGCTACACCCTTAAGGCAACAGAGGAAGCGTATGTCATGGCTGCAGTGACAGCTAATGAGCAGATATACAATATTAATTGCGCTAAGTGTAACACACTGAACAATCTATCAACTTCTATTTTCTTAGCAGCTGTAGCTTAGCTTCTTTCGACTAACACCTCTGTCTGAACGGGCTGCTTGGAGTTTGTTTACCTATATGGTGGCCCTATCAGTAGATCCTATAGAGGAACTACCCCCAGTGCTTCCTATACCCTGTGCTGTGCGGTCTGGGCTGTTTCCACCTCCACCAGCTGCTGGAGCCAGGTTTTCCAGCGTCATAGAGGTTCAGATGATTGCCTTCTTCCCACCACTGGAGGGGCTGACCCAGTTGTACTCAGCCTGCACCAACACGAAGCTGTTCTCCCGGATCTTTCGGAAGTGCATCGTCACCTCCCCGTTCTCTCTGACGGCGATGACCTCGGGGTCGGGCTGGCTGAAGGACACCTCCGTCCGCTTGTGACAATGCTGGGCACAGACACAGCGCAGGGCGGCTGCCAGCGCCAGGCCCAGGGCGGCCGTGCAGACCAGCAGGATGCTGAGTTGGGCTGCTAGGAGTCGGGTCCCTCTGCCAGGCTCTTCTCCTTTCCCAGGAACAGCGGATTCAGGAGCTGGTCTGGTCACCCATGGCAGGGTATTCCCACCTGCTGCCTCCTCCTCCTCTTCCTCCTCACCCCTGGCACTTGCCACCTCTGCCTTTCTTTCTGCCATTTGCCTTGAAGCTGATGACAAGTTGCCGGCAGCGGTGGCATCGCCAAACCAGGCTGCTGTCACAGCGGTGTCACCCAGGTGAGTGTGAGCGTGTGGGGCAGAAGGAGACACTGTCACAGGCAGGGAGGCTTTCAAGATGGTCCTGCTCTCAGTACTGGCCTTTGAAAGCAAAACCACAGTGAGATGTGCAGTGAGGAAAGAGAAAGAGGGCTGATTATGTTCTCTTCCACGACTAACATCACGATACAGTTCAGCTCTGTATTTCTGACACCCAGGTGTCCCCCCGGCCTTGGAATAACCCTGCTCCATCCCCTGGTTACTCAGGAGCTTTCAGAAAATGAGGCAGATTCAACCCCGTTCCATCCCTATCGGAACTGCCACGGGAGGGACGAGGCACTGGGAGCTGGTCCCAGGGGCCAAGGCAGAAGGGGTTGAAGGAGCGGAGGTGAAGGGCACAGGTGGAGAGGAAGGTCACTGCTTTGCCTAAGAAAAGGTCTGCAACTCCCACTGTGGCAGTGGTGGTGGTATTTTTCATAGGCTTTGTTATTAAAAAAAAAAATCACTTAATAAACAATTCCCTTCTTAAACGATGCCATCATCATGCTGAAAGAACAGGCATCATCTTGCTGGCCAAGCGTTTTAGGGTCATACCAGGCCCACCAGGGTTCTCTATCACCCTTCTGAGACCGTGGATGGAACGGTGGAGCAGAGGGACCCTTGGGGTGGCCTTGGACATCAGTGGTTTTGGGGCTGTCATACACAACCTGTGAACTCTTCCCCAGAACCCATCTCGCTCTCTCAGTCTATACATTCCATTGGAAACCTGCTGCTTCTCAGTGGTGCTTAACCACCCATTTTAGCAGGAATGACTCTTCTTGTGTGCTCCTGTTCCTAGGGGCTCTGCCTGGTGCCACGCACCTTATTTTATCCGTCACAAAATGACAGCTGCTCCATGCCAGATCCGCAGCCCAGGATTTTGCTGCAGATACCATCCAAGACTAACTGTGAAACAATCGTACAGTTTAGGAGGCCCCCACTGTATTTTCCCATCCCCACTGTGCACCTGAGCCCCCATCCAAAACCTACAAGATGTACTGGAGTCTTTTCTTTGGCTCCACTGAGATTTGGATCTGGCCCTCGGTAGCTGGCGCCTCTCCAGCCTGTCCGGCCCAGCAGGCTTTTTCACACATCCATTAATTACACCAGAGAAACTCTCACCCTCTACCGTCATTAGTGATTTCTAAAGCTTGCTGGGAAGACAGTGTGACAGGAGCACAAAGCTGAGGTAGGAGCCCCGGCCAGCTGTGAACCAAAGTAGGGGAGGGGCAGAGAATCCTTTGTGGAAGAGACTGTTTCTGAAGTTGCTAGTAAAATACAGTAGTAAATAAAAGACTTTCAGTAGCTGAACTGCAAACTGTAAAGTAGCTGGCTGAGATAGGATTGCACGTGTATGGATCACTTGCCTTCAAAACACAGATGCCATAGTGTAGGGATATACTGCAGGATTTGGGACTTTGGGACAGAAAATGAAATTGCCTCATAAGTCCTTGCCCTATTTTGCCTCATTTCTCTTTTCATGCTTTTTCTCTCTTTTCTTGCCTCATTTCTCAATGTTTTATTCCATTATGCTCTTCTGGTATTGCCTTGTGCCAATGATTCTTCCTTTTTTCTGGGTACCATCTTCCGTCGTTTCTCTACTTCTCTCCATGGCTACTCTAGATGCTCATGTTATACGTCTCTCCTTTACTTGTTCTCTGTCCTCCTCTCCTTTACTTGTTCTCTGTCCTCCTCTCCTTCCTAAATATTTCTGTATTGCCCCTTCCTCTTCTATTTTCTGTGAGATTACTTCTCTTCCTTCTGTGGC